CTATGTGTGAAGTTCTGTTGGTGTACAAATGGTCTGGAGAATTTTTCGATGTTATTTCATACCAAGGATATGTCTGTTTCTCTTTAGAGTTGTTCTGCAAATTCTAAGAAAGATTTTTTCTTTTTTCTTTTGAACAGTCTCCTGGATTTTGCAATTTCTTTCTTTAATTCAATGTAATTTTCTTGATTAGAGTGTTCTTTATATCGTTTGAATTTTTGTTTTCTTTCCCTTATTGCTGACGAGCACTCATCATCCCACCATGGTGGTTTTTGAATGTGATTATATTTGGAATTTCTGTTTACTGTGGGGGTACTTTGTTCTATGCCTACTTTAATTCCTTGAATCAGATCTTCATATGAATTGATTTCTATTGAGTCTATGTATTGTTCATATTTTTCCCAGTCCGTTTTTTTATATTTATATAATGTATTATTATTACTACTGATTGGATCAGACAGCCCTATATTGTTTACGGAATATCCTAAACTGATTTCTGATAAAATAGGAAAGTGATCGGAACCATGTGTATCCTCCAAAGTTATGCAATTTTGAATATCTCTATATAGATTTGGAGACGAAATCATGAGATCAATTACACTTTTAGAGTGTAGAGCTAGGACAGTAGGTTGTAGATCGTTATTAATAATTATTCTGCCATCATCGATCAATGTATTAAGCACTAACCCTGCTCTATTGGTGATAGAATTTCCCCATTTTTTGTGATGGGCATTAAAATCTCCACATATAATAAATTTTTGACTGTCTGTGCAATTATACCAGAATTCTTCGTCTACTAAGACATCTGGGGGAATATATATTGAGAGAAAGTGTATATCCTTCAGAGTGATTCCTAAAATATTGACCTTATTGGGGATAGGGAAATTCAGGTCTAATGTGCTGAAATCAACACAGTTTTTGACCATTATCCCTGATCCCCCCTTTCCATCATCTCTGTTATGTAAAATTATTTTATATCCTCTGATAGATACTACTGTATTTGGCTTAAACCAAGTTTCTGTTAAGAAAATTAGATCAGGTTCATGTTGTTCTATAATTTGGATCAAGTTGGCTTTATTTGAATGGAAGCTTCTTATATTCCAGATTATTAGTTTGATTCTGTCCATGGACTAGCTTCTTTGTTTAGGTCTGTTAGAGTGTTTGGGTTTGAACAAGTGGGTGGAACGAATTCCTTAATAACTTCGAGAAATAAATCAGGGTATTTGAAATAGATATTACTCATATCATCCCTCATTTTTTGTAAGATAACGGAGATTGGTGGAGGGGGCCCGAGGGAGTAATTATATATAGGGGTAACCGTTTCTCTGATTCGACCATCAGGGTTGATAAGGCCTTTTTTATGCTCCTCATCAACCCCACTTCTCTGTGTTCTCTTCTCTTGAGAGTGATCTTGCCGATTTTTGGGGTATATTACTCTGGTAAAGGTATTAGAACTAATGTTAGGGCCTCTTTTAGTAGCCTGGTTGTATTGAGTTGGAATTTTGGGTCTAGGGGGGTTGCTTCATTGAATATTTGAGACATAGTCTGGCTAGACTTAGGTAATTCTGGGTATAGTTATTGACATTGAAATTGTGTTGATTTTTCTGAGTTTGATCATTATTTCCACTATTAATGTTGCTAGTTTTGTTTGGAACTAGTTTAGCCGCCTCGAAAAAGGTTATGTTCCTTTCCCCTATAAGTTCTTTGATTCTTTTTTGTCTTAAAAATTCTGGGCAAATTCTATTTCTGAAGGGAGTGTCAGTTTCATTTGAAAGGTGGTTACCATTGCAATATATACATCTAGGTTCGTTTTCATGGCATAGATCTTTTTCATGATTTCCTGCGCATTTCGGGCATCTGGTTTTTCCTTTACATTGTAATTTAGTGTGACCGTATCTTAAACAATTGTGGCATTGAATAACTGGTGCATAATAGTTTAAAATTTCAAAAACGCAATTGTATATGTAAATGTTTTTGGGAATATATTTCCCTCTGAAAGTTACTAATATTACTGGAATATCTATATATTGCATTTCACCATTAACTATACTCTTTTTCTTCAGTCTCCTCACATGAACTATTTTCCTATTATCTATTGTTTTAATATTTTGTTTTATTTCCTCTTCAGAAAAAGTGGTATCAACATCTTTAACAATCGCCTTACATGTGATCAAGTTGTTAGGAATGGTAGCATTAAAGTTATTTTTTGTTAAGAAATGATTATCTTCTAGCAAATTATTTGCCTCCTCTATTTTTTTGAAGGTAAGTATAGTAGTCTATTTTTCCCTCTCCTCTCAATAGAAGTTGGGTTATATCTTGAGCTCTGATGGAATATTTTGCCTACCGCTAAATTGGATAGAAAACCAATGTTTTTGTCTAAAGATTCAATATAAATAGAGAATGGGCCAAAATCAGATTTATCAAATCTATTTTCTTGATCAGTATTAATATTATTATTCCCTGTAGCATTATTTTCATAATTACACTCCATTAAATCATTTTGAGGAGATGATTCCTTTGAGTTATTATCAAGGTTATTTTTATTTCCATTATCTATTTTAGATTTCTTGCTCTCCCTAGGTTTATTTGTTTCTGTCCTTGGAGTTTTTTTGTTGACATTCCTATCTGAAGAGTCGGCTTTTTTCACCAACAGGTCTGATAAAATGTTTATTTTTGATGAAGGAAATTTGACCTTGAGATCACTTTCTTCATCAAAGTAATATCCATCTTTTAGTTTCATTGAATTCAGAGATAAATTCCTCATTGATGTTAATATTTGAAATTAATTCATTACATATATGAGGATTGAATTCATGATTGTTCGCGAATAAGAATAAATTGCCAACCGCTTCCCTAGTGGAAGGCGATCTATCTATCAATTGTTTGCATTCCGAAACATCTTTACTGAGAGAAGTTAAACTTCCCCCGGGATCACCGGGGGAGTTATCACCCATTTTGAACTAAAGCCAAGAATAAGATTTTACAATTCCGAAAAAATATGTTATGTATAACAGGAAAAAATTTTCCAAAATTCTACTATTTCCCAGAAAAATTACCCCAGACAGGACAACTACATACACTTACTTGTTTTAGTTATCAGAAATATACACCCTTCTCCTGCTTCTACTACAGGGTTATGATTATTACAAGAGTCTCGAGATCATACCCGTGTGTTCACCGAACACGCCCGATCGTTCCCTAAGCGGTGGGGAAACGTAAACGGGCAGCGGGCAGCAGTAACTACGTTATGAATATTGGCACGTGCCTGAATTATTTTGGAGTCAAATCACAGATTAACAATTGTTAATCTGTGGTCAAATTTGACAATTTAATGTACTTCGAAACGGAATACTATAGTAGTTGTGCCTTCTTGTTTTACATATATTATAGGTAAACATCAAATCAATAAACATAGTGCTCTCGCCATCGGTATTTGCTGAACTTCGCTATGGGAAAAATGTTGAATAACTATAATGGGATGAAGAATGATCTATACAGGGTGTATCTAAATAACACCGAAATAATTCAAGGGATGATTCCTTGTGATATAATATGATGAATAAAGGTCATATAAACATGTGTCCTAAACTTGCTTCGTTTTCGAGGTACAGGGTTACGTCCTGATTTCGAATTCGAAGTTGATTTGGCAACATTGCCGATATCACCATTGAATCGGGCATCATCAACAACCATCCTGTCGAAGTTTTCATAAATTTTCTCTGAGCCGTTTCTGAAATATGGGACCATTCCAGAACTTTTTAACGAAAATGCTATGTTGTCATATTTCGAAAATCACGTTAATTACGAATCTGATATTCAGGGACTCAAGTAATTAGGAGGCGCTTAATTAATTGCAATAAAAATAAATGGGGTATTCCATTTGAAAAAATAAAGTTACTCCTAATATCTGAAAAACTGTAAACTTGGCAACATTGCCGATGCCACCATTGAATCGGACATCAACAATAATCACCCTGTAGAAAATTTCGTGAATTTTTCTAAAGCCGTTCCTGAAATATGAGACCGTTCCGATACTTTTGAAAGACACTGTATACCTTGAGCTTGATCAACGAAATCATAGGTCAATTAGAAGAATCGAAAAATGTAATAAAATATAAGGTGTTCCATTTTGAATAACAAAGCTGCTACTACTATACTACTAAGTACTACATAACTACTAATAATAATTTCTAGTGAAGCAGATGAACATTATCGAAAATAATTTGAATAAAACGAGCGTCCTCGCCAACAAAACATAAGCATATAATATGTACATATAGTTTCATGATTTTCGATGAGTGGTTCGCTATTTACATGTAGGACTCGTCATGACATAGCGAATTATTGCAAATCAAAACATCGCTTTCATTATCTGATAGGTCGCAGTAGATCACTTGATGCCTATCAAATGTTTCTTATTTATTCGAAAAAAAAAAAATGTTGAAATGTGATCAAGAAAACTGTTGGTGGCCCACCCCGTACTACAAAAACAAAGACAGCGTGAGAGAAGCTGCCTGCCCACTGTCTCGGTCTCCCCACCGCTTAGGTAATGATCGAGCGTGTTCGGTGAACACACGGGTATGATCTCGAGACTCTTGTATGATTATTAGGTAGCAGGATTTCACCGGTAAAATTCTATACGACACGCTGACGATGTTGACCATACGACGTTCACCGCAAGAATCTTGCCAGAAGAAAAAAAGAAGAAGATAATGCATAGCCACAACACCTTTGCCACAACTATATAGCAAACATACATTTCATTGCTATATAGTCACTCTAGCCAAGGATCTCTAGCCACAACAAGATACAAACAATTGAAAGCCATAATAGAACGATTTGAAAACTTTGGGCTCTCGTTTTGACGTTTTGTTGAGTTTATTAAAGTTGAAAATGAATGATTTTTGGATGTTCGATTTAAAACCAACAGCATGAATAGGCAGTAGCTATTTTCCTTTCTAGTCTGCTTGTAATTGTTATTTGGCTCAAAAGGAACAGATAATATGTCGAAAATCACAAAAACTCCTGCAATGGTCCTTCAAGAGCTAGCTACACAGAAAGGGTTCGGGCCCCCTACTTACGAAATCATCTTCAGCAAATCTGGCACTCATGAGAACAGGTTTGACTATAAAGTGAGAGTGGCTGGTGTGGAGGCCATGGGAATAGGGACTTCCAAACAAATCAGTAAACATGAAGCTGCTCATAATGCCCTTAGAATGTTGGAAGAAATGGGGATTTATAATCCGGCAGAAATGCCTTTGCAAGAGTTCAAAAAAGTCCCAGCAGCTTCATCATCTGTGCCTCATAGTCCTATTATGGTAGCACCAGCACCTAATTCTATTGGTAAGGAATCAAATACAGTTTAGTACTCTAATTTTTGTACTGTGGTATTTTTGTCTTATGAACTGATATTCCCAACTCGTCCCAACTATTGGACGTTGGACTACTTAAGTGTTCAGACATAATTTGTTCAAATGTCCTAAGATGATCTATTCCATTTTTTTCTTATAATAGACTTATTATCTGCCCTACAAACTATTCTAGGTAGACTCTGAATTATTTGCCCAACTGGCTCAATGTCAACTATGAAATAGCCAAATTGCTCAAAGTGGAATGAAATGTTGAATAAATACAAAATGACAAAATGACTTTGAGCCTTTTGTATTCATCTGAATTATTTATTCATAAAATACATCACCTCGTTACATCACTGAGGAAAAAAATTAACATGTTATTCTTATAGATTATTGTTCAAATTAGCAAGCTAGCATTATTTTTAAAGACCTTTTTAATATTTCATATGAAATAATGAATAAATTAAAAGTAAAAAAAAAAAATTCAATAAAAAGCTTTTATTTAAATACTCTTAAAAGAATAAAATTACATGTACCTTTATAATTTCAACTATCAACTTATAAACTCATTATACACAATTTTTATAATGATAAAAGCTTGTCACAGGATTCACTTGTGTGAATAAAGAACTACTTATTCAATTTTGTGAAATCTGCTGAGTTTGAATTTTTAGAATTTCAATTCAATTAAATATTGATTATCAGGACAGGCCTTTATGATCATATAAATTGTGTTTAATGAGGATATAAGTTCATAGTTAAAATTATAAAGAAACATTTTATTTCATTCTTTTTAGATCGAGCATTTAAATAAAAGCTTTTTATTAAAATTGTCAGAGTTCAATCGAAGTTACAGCCTTAAAAATCGAATTTTTTAAACTAGCATTTTTAATCTCAGCTAGGAAAGCACAAAAAACTTCAATAGTGTGCTATATTTGATATACATTATTTCTATTTATTCTCGGAAAACCCTTTCATTTGACACCCATATTGCAGAAGTGCATGAATAATAATTATTCTGCCATGTTGGAAGTTCCGCCATATTGGAGCCGTTTCATTTGATACCCATATTGTGAAAGTAAATTGAAAATAACTATTCTGCCATCTTGGATGTTCTGCCATATTGGAATTTTGAATGACGACACACTATTTTCCGAGTTGCCCTCAACGGGCCCTTTTATTAGATACCCATATAATAGAAGTGGATTAAAAATGACTATTCCACTGCCATCTTCGATAGTCCGCCATATTAGATTTAGAATGACGTCACATTATTTTCCGAGTTACTCTCAACAAGTCCTTTCATTTGATACCCATATTGTGGAAATGTATAAAAAATTACTATTTCGCCATCTTAGATGGTCCGCCATATTGGATTCAGAATGACGTCACATTATTTCTCGAGTTACTCTCAACGAGCCCTTTCATTCGATACCCATATTGTAGAAGTGCATTAAAAATAAGTATTCCGCCATCTTGGATGGTCCGTCATATTGGATTTAGGATAACTTCACACACCTTATTGTGCATTGTCATCCAAACTAAAAGTGTATACAAAATTTCTGCTCAATCGGTTGAAGATATCTACTTCAAAATTGAGTTCAAAGATTCCACCCGAGCTAACATACATACATCCATAAATTGCAAGTTAAATAAGAGTTTTTAAAACTTAAAAAAAACAATTGAGCATTGCTTTGAAAAATAAGTAGCTACAAATTATTACATACCTAAAAACAAGTTTCTGCTAAAAACTAATGAAAAAGCTGAGTATGAGAAATATTCTTCTAGTCAATAATAAAAATCAATTCTTCAGTAACAATATTTCAGGAGGCTATGACCATAGACCAGTCCTGAAGCTTTTGAAAACGGTAAAATGTGAAGAAAAATCATAGTAGGATGAAACAATGAAACCCATTGAAACAGAAAGAGAATATAGCGGGAAAGACACTTTCCGTATGAGTTAGGAACAATATTTTTTCTACAAGCGTACTAGGTGGTAAATATAATAATGTGAAATATATCATTCCACTTATGAATTTCTACTACTACTAATTTGGCGACGTACTCTGATTAAATACTGGCAACACTGTAGGTGACTTTGTACCTGTTCCCTTAGTACAGCCACGAATATTATTCAGAGACATCTATTGATGAGGTCCCCTATTGATTGAATTAAATGTATCTAAAGGATTCTGTAGAAATAATACATGAAACTATAATTATGGCGCCACTAGACGGCTGTGATATATTTATAGTTTCACTGGTGTCTGTGGGCGAACTATTTCGCTGTGATGCGCGCCCTTAATATCGAAAAAACACCCTAATTTTCAATCGAAAATTCTCGCGTCAAAATATCAGCTTTTTGAAAAAACTCGGGCGTTTTCTGTTCGCTGAAATCTCTTCTTTCTGATAATGTGAGAACATATACAGTCTGTCCAAGATAAGGTTGAACAGCATGGGGATCTCGGAAACGGTAAGAGATACGAAGTCGCTTAAATGGGGAAAAAGTTGCGCATTCGGAGGCACATATCAAGAGCCTTCGAAAATTTTGGAAATTATTTTTAGTTTTTGAGTTATATCGAAAAAAGTGAATTTTTGAAATTTCTATTTCATTTTTTTTCTCCGTTATTATTAGAGTTACAGAAAAACTGAAAATACTTTTTCATAGCAACTTTTGATGACGTTTAACGTGGTGATACCGATTTTTTTATGCGACGTTTCGTATTCGTGGAACCATCATCAACTTTTGTTTTTTTAATACGGTCCTGATAATTTTTTCACAGATTCTGAAAGGTTTTTTTATTCTGAATTCAACCATGTACTATACAAGGTGATTCGAATGTGTTTCGACCTATTTCTATCCATCATCAATGTTTTTTCGAACTTCCAAAGGAAAAAAGCCATCAGTTCCACTTATTTCTGATCATTTAGTGTCAAACTTGATGGATTAGTTATTCAATACTGAAAAGTGTATGTAAAATATTTCACTACATCATTCGATCAATGCAGCGTTTAAAATTGTTGATGAATTCTTACACGAAATACTTTAACAACTTAACTTTGACAATACCTACAGAGACATTCATAACAAATGTTCAAAGATATGCTCTTATCACAGTTGCTCCTAAGACATTGCTAAGCATTTCTGGGGTTATTCTATTGAATGCTTCGAAGACACTGTCCCTTAGTTCTTCTTTATCATCAAAGTTATTTGCGTGTACAAAGTTCGATATATCCCCTAAGAAAAAATCCAGCTGTGTCAAATCAGGCGACCGCGCCGGCCAAGGGATAAAAACGCACATACTTCTCTGGAATTATGTACCGGAGCGCCATCTTGTTGAAACAAACAGTTCTGAATTTCCGCATTCGGTAAATCATACAGAGCTTCCTCGAGATGATTCTCAAGCGAATTTCTATAACATTCGGAAGTCTATGTTTCATGGTAAATAGAAGGAACAATAATTCGTGTACCAAATATTGCAACCCACATATTAAAGCCGAAACGGCGTTGGTGTCTCGCTGTAATGTATAAATGTTCATTTTCTCGTGAACAATAATGTGTATTTTTTCTATCGAAGATACCATGATTAGTGACCATGCTTTCATCAGTCCAGATGATTGTTCGAAAGAAATCTGCAAAAATTTAACATTTCCTGGTATACCACTCACAGAATGTCCTGCGCCTTTCGTCATCGCCTGGTTTTAGAGCTTGACATTCTGAATTTTCATGGACGGAATTTTTGTTACCCGCAAAATGAAATGGATTGTTGATTGAAACCAGTTGATGAGGTATTAGTGTGTTGACTAATTTTCCTCCAAAATAAGTGGAACTGATGGCATTTTTCCTTTGGAATTTCGAAAAAACATTGATGATAGGTCGAAACACACATAAACCACTTTGTATAATACATGGTTGAATTCAGAATAAAAAATCCTTTCAGAATCTGTGAAAGAATTATCAGGACCGTATTTAAAAAACAAAAGTTGATGATGGTTCTACGAATACGAAACGTCGCATGAAAAAATCGGTATCACCACGTTGACCGTCATCGAAAGTTGCTATGAAAAAGTATTCTCAGTTTTGCTGTATCTCTAATAATAACGGAGAAAAAAAATAAAATAGGAATTCCAAAAATTCACTTTTTTCGATATAACTCAAAAACTAAAAATAATTTTAAAAATTTTCTAAGGGTCTTGATATGAGCCTCCGAATGCGCAACTTTTTCCCCATTTAACCAACTTCGTATCTCTTACCGTTTTCGAGATCCCCATGCTGTTCAACCTTATCTTGGACAGACTGTATACTTACTATGGTAAATGTTCTCAGAAAATGCAAATACAAGGAAAAAACTCGAATCCGATTTTTTTCTAATCACTATGTACAATTTTCAGCTATTTTGTAAAATTTTCACTTTATTTACTTGCAAAACGTAAGATTCTATATAACATTGAGAAAGAAAAAAAGTACAAATTCAGAAATCATAAAGATTGCAAGAAACATGCGAAAATAGTTGTTCTGAATATTAAAGATAGGATTTATTTAAAGGGAGGATTTCAATTGAAAAATTTGATTTTTTTTAGTCAAGAAGTTGATTTATCAAATTCTAATTACATTTGTGTCATAGAAAATCTCATAATATATTAATAGAAATGTAAATCGTACAATTGAATTTAGATACTTTATACTGATTCTTAGTATTCATAAATAGTTGTTTTTGTATCTAGAGCGCGAAATGCTACTTTGTTGATCGAGATCTGATCTTTTTGACGAGGCGAGTTGCAAACAACATTTTTTCTACAAACGTCAAAAAATATAGTTTTAAAGTAAAAATATGCTCAGCTTGATGTAAAAAATAGTGTTGAACTGGCTAAGAAGGCCTCTCCCTATCCTCCCTAGGTACGCACGATGTTCCAAAAACATAATATGAATTTCCTTTCGTGCTCTCCAAGAGATAAAACAAAGTTATTGTTGAACATTCAGAAATAAAT